TCGCGTTTGCGGACTTTCGGTGAGTATTTGAGTCCCTTAGGTTTTTTTTTGTTGCATCAATGACATGGTAGCATGCAAATGCTTTCATGGCAAGCTTCACTTTTGTTGATCAATTCAAGTTTTTTGGTCCGGGCAAGCATGCATATATTTCATGGGTAATTTTTGATGTTGTTTACTAGGCTTTAGAAATGAAGCAATAAATTTAGTATACGCCCACTTTTCGGTAAATCTGTATAATGACGAGACACGGAGCGCCGGGGACGAAGCTCGTTTTCGGTAGTTTATTATTATTCGCGCGTTTGTCTTCCAGTCAAATTTTCAATGATAAGCAAAGATTACCAATCATTGACATACCGTCGACTTCTTAACTGCAAATGCATCAAAAACAGTAAAACGTATCTGTCGGTCTTTCACATAAAATACTTGGCAATTTTGTGTTTTTGAATTTTAAACTCGAATATCAAACTCTGTCTGCCATTCTTTACGCTCTTGACATCCCAACATTCATTGATTACTACATTTCTGACAGTCAGACCACGTATCTGCCTGGCTATCTGCTAACCCTTTAGTAGATACTATATGTTGAGAGCTTGCTGTAAAGCAATAAAAGTATTGCATTCAAGCAACGAAAAGTATTCTCCTCCTTTTGGGACAATTGTTGACATAATGACTAGTATGATAGTAAATAAAGTTGTTGCTAGAACAACAAACCAAGAAAAAATGGCGACATGAATCAAAACTTCATAAAGTTTATGCTGTTTCCCAACCACCAAAAACATATTCTCCAGGGCATTGTTTGATACGGGCATACACAAATTACATCCTGTACATTCTTCCTCCATTGCTCAAGCACTTAAAAAAAAACACTAACACCTTACACTTTTAATTCTTTTTTTAAAGAAATTGTGAACGGAAGTAGGCAAACTTCTATAAAACTATATCGATCGGGTGTCTTCGGTCAGTAACGCTTATGGAATTGAATTTCTTTCCTTTTTATCCCCTTCGCGAAATATGAGCGGTATATTCATTTTCTCAAGACGTTTGTAATGCCCAGAAGGAAGCATCACAGACCCCACAAAGTATACGTATTCCTGATCAGCATCAAATTCTAAATTGATTTAAGCATGTCCGTCTGTCCGTCCGGGTAATGAATGAATATTCAATCTTTGATTAAAGCAAAGATTCTAGATTACAAATGATTGGAAATCGATTTAAGAATTTCAATACATATTCAATCTGAAACGTAACAAAACATTTACCACTAACTCATCAATACACACACGAACCAATCGCAAGAAATTGAGATTATTTCATTACTTTGAAGGGCATTTAGATATTCAGGATAAGACGGCTTCAAAATAAAGGAAACAAGAAATTTTTTTTTAAATTTTCCTCCTTTTCATAAGATACTTATATACAATCCATCACAATTCATTGAAAAAAAAAAACATAGGCGTGTTACGTTTAAACAATAAACACTTCGTTTTTTCTCCGATTTTCTTTGTTTTTCTTAAAATCGTAAAAATGATAAATTTATTTTTATTATTAGTGCTGTTTGATCTCAATTTTAAACATATTAAGTCATTTTAATGGTTTTACGTTCTGCTTCCATTATGAAAGCAAAACAATTTTTTTTTTTTTTTATGCATTTTGATTGATGGATTGTATTTGAACTCGTTCTATGAACGCAATTTTAAAAAACAAACAATTTTCTAAAAAGGAAAACAGATTTTGAAAATTGGCTCACAAGTGGTCATGCTTGCTTACCTAAAAAAGATATTAATTGCTTTTGCAATTGATTTCAAATTCATAGACTGTTGTCTCAATTGTTTTCCACGTGAAAGGAATAAATGAAGTTAAGCTAATTCAATGACGTCTGATTTAACATTGCATAGTTGTCTGTAAGTAGCGGTGCTATATCCAGTTTATATGATAGAGTTCTTACGCTCACGTAGCATGTTACGCTTACAACAGAATAATAATTTTTGTCTTAAAATATACTTTTGTTGTATACTCCCTTTCTATTTTTTTGTGTGTGTGGTAACGTGTTTGAAAGTTTTTAAACACGCTCTTTAAGATCACACATACGTTAACAAGTTTTTCAAGGTCAATTAACTGAAACATTGTTTCAAAAAATACATAAGAAATTTTAAGCTCATTTTCATTTTCTTGTTTTGGTTTCTTCCTTTCTTTCTAGGATCAATTACTGAAAGTGAATGAGCTACACAACGTATTTGCGACAACATCGGCATCGGAGATATATTTATAGTTGGCTAGGAATCTTTGATTTTAATGATTTCACTGTAGCGATTGTTTCTTGGTGGATCACACATATCCAAGCTCGGATTAAAAAGTTCATGGACAGGTCAGGTAGAGAGCCTGGCAAGGAATACCTGACTAACAAGCTCACAACCATAAATATATATATATATATTTTTGACATTCAACCTGGAAGAATCGGCTAAGTGAGGCGAGTACATTAGTCCAAGAATGATCCAGGCCTGTTAAGTGGCTCTTCTCGTCAAGATAGTAATACGCAGCAGAAGATTCGTTGTAAACTCAATATAAATCCCGCCCGTTTCTTTCTTCTTTTTTTTGTTTGCTTGAAAATAACGAGAGTAACTGACGACTTTGTATGTGAAACTGTATTAAGCCAATGGTCAAGGTTATATATAATAAAACTAAAAATACAAAATATAAGAACGAACAAGAAACATGAGACGAATATTGGACACCTCCTTGACTAATCAAAGTATATATGGGTTACTTTAAAAACTCTTGAATACTAGAATAATAGAACCACAGATAATAAACTTTGATTGTACGTCATTGTCCACATGATGGCGAGTTGGATATGTGTAATCAGTAGATGGAGTACGAATGTAATCAAAGGTCTTTATTTTTAGATAACTTAAGCAAAGGGCGGCGTGCTGGTAACTAAACTTTTCATACACTTCCGTCAAGCGTTCGCTACAATTTGTAGATCACAATCTTGTGTTTGGCCGATCCACTCCAGCAGATTCAGACAATTTTTGCTAATGTTGGTCTTTTTGAAAAACTCAGCACAAAACGACGAATGTCACTGGAAGGATTCAGAAGATGACGTCAGATATTTAAATTATAATATATTGACGGACTGAGATAACATATATATTTGAATATTTTATTTCTCCGATGGCAGTGTGTGTGTGTGTGTGTGTGTGATGTTCACGGCCTGAGATAAAATACATATTTGAATATTTTATTTCTGTGTGTGTGTGTGTGTGTGTGTGTGTATGTGTGTGTTCAAGAAGATCAAACTGAATAGAAAACTTAGTATACTTGCGGTACATATACAGATGGCCACGAAATTGTAACATGTTTTAAAATAATAATTTCGAGATGACAAGCGAGAGATTAGTTGAAAAACACGAAAGCAAAGCAAAACAAACGGCGGAGATGTAAACGAAACGAAGTGCAAAGGTGCGAGCAAGACGACGCAAACTTTTGATAAACACGTGCGCTTTACGCTTGCCTACCTATATACAGCGATCAATAATTGCCGGGACGGAATTTAAAAAAACCTCAGAAATTACTGATCGACTGCTGCAAGAGCACATTAAGTTTGCGCGGCTGTGTGCAATACACAGAAGGACTCGACATAGATCGGCCTTTTTTTCTTTTATTAATATTTAAAATTAAATAATGTTTTGCTGCTGTAGACAATATGTGTTGATGGTCTCGTCTGAATAACTGACGTACACCTTTTCATAACCGGTAAGACCGAAAATTTCATAAATCACCAAAACCGCTCAGAGTCTGGGATAAAACCATCACCAGTTAATTGATTCGGAAATCTGTTTCACGAAACCAATGGGGACTAAAGGACTAATAAATTCAAATCTTCGCTGTGGGCTGAACGTTTACTTCTGATTAAAGTTTTGACACCCGATGGAAGACTGAAATCTTATATATATATTCTTATATTCTTGTATATATATTATATAATATTCAGTGCCTTGAATCTGCAAGGGAACGCCTATAATTAGGCTTGCAATAGAAAAGAACTGTTGCATGGGGTTCATAGTAAATATTACTTTAGAAGTGGAGAAGAAGTGTAGCATGCGGTCCATAGCAGATAATGTTTTAGAAGTGGAAGAAAACATTTCGCAAAAGCTTTTAAAGTTTCATTGTAAAGAGCAGAGAGGAGTTTGTCTGTGAACATGCCTATAACAGCAGTATTCAAAGTAAAATGAATGAATTAATTAATTATTATAGTAATTGCTGTTGTATGTCAGGGAAATATTTTATTTTCTTTACTTGTTGACAATTTTCCATATAATAAAGTAGTCATTGAGAAAATTTGTAAAGATTTTATAGAAATTTTTGTTTTTGCCAAACTTGAAAGTAAGTCGAATAAAACGCTTCTTCCGAGCATCATCTTTTGTGCAGCTCTTATGACGAAACGACTGTCATTATTATAAGTAGATTTAATTTGGGCGAAGAGGGAAGAATCAATAAAACTTGAAGGAAGCTTTCTTGAAGAAAAAGCGAACTCTCTGTCACGTAAGTGGATATCCAAAATTTATTAGCGGACGAAATGGATTCGACACCTTCACTGCTTGGCGCTGAGTCGTTAACAGGACACCCGGTTGACGAAACACCTGAAATACCGCTGGCCGCGATTAGTGCCAGCGGAGACGATGTCATCAATCCTACACCCACTTTAGTATCTTCAAAACGACCTTCGACTTATTGCGGTCTGGTCTCACAAGCAGGCAAAAGCCCTGGTCGGAAAAGGGACTGCGATAATCTGTTAGTTGCCGATACTAACGAGCGTGCACTTAAAAGACAAAAGCTTGGCACTTCGGATGTATCGGGCGATGCTTCATTGACCGAAAGACTTAACGCGTTACTTTGTTGTGTGGTTTGCTTGAATCTATCCAAATTTTCCATGTACCAATGCCGGAGAGGACATTTGATGTGCGCTGACTGCTTTAATCACTTATTAGCCGACGGACGATTACGTGATCAGTTTTCCACATGTCCCAGTTGTCGTGTGGACATATCTTACGATACGGTTGTTCGGAATTTGTGTGTTGAAGACGTCATATATGAATTGCCGAGTGAATGCCGATATTGCAGTAAAGAATTTCCCAATAAATCGATGTATCGACATGAACGGGAAGAATGCGAAAAACGTCCAACCCATTGCAAATATTCCCGTGTCGGTTGTCAGTGGCTTGGCCCACGGATTATGGCTCCTGAACATGAAAGTAAATGCGCATGTTTGAACAAGTCCGCCGAGGAAATTGTAAATGACTTAGGAACGTCCGACACCAAAGCCGACAAGGAGAAAAAAATATTTAATGCATTTTTCAATCTGTTGAGTCACGAAAATATGGCATTTATTGAACTGCGATTTAAACCTCTTCGTACCAATGAGTTTCCACATAAGCTCTTCTTTGAGACGTCAAGATTTTCAGCCTTCAATCTAGAGTGGATAGTTAAGACGACCGTTAATAATAATGAAAGGGAGCCGTATCGTTCCAGTCAACGTGTTATTACTTATCAACTCATCTTAAAAACGAAAATTTATGTGTCAATGGATATGGACTTCTTCGCTGGGAAGGGACCATATTCAACCATCCGAATGTTCCCACAGATGTATAAATATACCTTTACGGAATATAATACAACAAGCGAATGGAATGACTTGTCGTTGGTCGACAGTGATGAGGTTAATCGTTTGCTTGCTAATTATGACTTCAATATTCGTTTCTTCATGTTTTTGGGCGAAAAGCAATACACTTTGCAAAATTAAAATATTTTTTCGATTTGTATTTACACAGACACTACGCTCTTGCCTTTTGCAGGCCGTAACTAATGAAATATATGTGACAAAAAAATATATCGAGAAACTGTTGAGATAGAAAATAAAAAGCTGGATAAACTTATTACTGAGACGACTTGGCCGTAAATGTTTATTTTTATTGTGTTGGTTTGAAGACAACAACAACAATTTCTGAAATATAAAACAGGTATTTGTATGAAGATGAACACGTTTGATGATGTGAGACAACGGAGAATTTATATTCGCGGTTGAATAACGTTATTTGGTCTTCCTCGCGTTTGCGGACTTTCGGTGAGTATTTGAGTCCCTTA